AAAAAAAACAAAAAACAAAGACAATGGCTCCGGAAAAAATGCACAATTTGTTTTAGTTTATAGCACAGTGGCCAGTAGCAGGTGGATGGACGCCATGGTGCCTGAAAGACCATTCCAACCTTGAAGTGTTTCCAACCATACTAACATGGACACACACACCTCACCTCAGAACTTCAAAAGGGCAAGATCTTTTTTCCTTCATTTACTGCTGAAACAAAGAATGTTACATTCTTCTATTCCAGTCTTTTGTTTATATTAAAAAAACTAAAGGAATGATTTTATAGGTAAAAGAGGTAGAGGAGGAGACTCGAGGGATAGTGGATATCAGTTGGGTCTAACTTCTAAGCTATACAGTGATGAAAGTGGGGATGGAGATGCCTGATCTGCAGTTGAGTTTTTAAATTACTTCCTTTCAGGTCCCCCCTCTAGGGCCTACGACCTGTTGGGCAGGTTTCCCAGTTTTACAGTACCAGACAAGAATTTCCTCCTGCAGGGCAGGTCTCAAATCCAATCAGCAAACAATCAGTTCCTCTCCTAACAGTCACTACTGCATTAGTGGGCATATCCTGCCTGGCAGCTCCACAGTGCATATTCTTTATTAAAACTTTCATATTATTTCTAGTCTGGAAAATACTTTGAGGCCTGTGCCTTTGGTCTTTCATTTCCAGTATGACAATGGTTGTGACAATAGGCATTTTCTACTTATTTGGGGCTTTCCTGTGTGAAAGCCAAGTATACCATAATGTTGGTTTTCCTTTGGAGACAGATATCCTTTGTTATGATACATTTTTTATTCTTATTCCTATTGTATTAATGTACTTGTTTCCAGGAAAGAGAGCGCTGAAGATGTAACTAGGTGGTAAATCACTTGCGTACATTCATAAAACCCTGGATTTAATTCCCAGCACAAGAAAAAAAGAAAAGTAACTAGCATTCCTGGCATGAAGGTATCAAGGTAACAAGTTTTTTCTTTGACCTACTCAATGATCAGTTATTACTACCTCATTTCCTGCTTCTAAACCCACTTTCTATTTCTGAGAATAAATATTAACTGGGCCTGGGGAAAAGTTTCTGCTGAACAAACATGAAGACTTTATTTTGGAACCCCCAGCACCTATGTACAAGTCAGTTTTAGTGTCCAAATCTATAATCCCAGTGTTAGGCCAGGGCCAGGTGGATCCTTGGAACTCCTTTGCCAGCCTACCTGAATCAATGAGCTCCAGATTTAATTAAATACTTGTTCCCAAAGGTGGAGAATGCTCGAGGAAGATACCTACACTGACTTTTGGCCTCAATAATGCACACACACTTAAACACAATATCTGTTCAATGAAAATTATTGCTTTATATTTCTGCCAGACTTTATTTGCTAATATTATATTTGTGCATATATTTAAAAAGGAGTCTGATAGAAACTTTTTAAATGATATTTTTGTCAGACTTGATACCATAGTTATACTAGGTTCCTGAAATAAATTTCTAAACATCCCTTTTCTCTAGAAATTACATTTTCTCTAGAATTACCTTATTTTGAAGGCTAAAAGAACATATTGGGAAAACACTTGGGTCCAACACTTTAGGGAGAGGAAGAGAGACTATATTTTTGGAAGTTTAAAAAAAAATCTCATATGCATGAATTATAAAGACTTTCAAACTGGCTATATGTTGTGTTCCACCCTTGTAATCCTAGCATTTAGAAACCAGAGGCAAGAGGATTGTGAGTTTTAAGCCAACCTGTACTATATAAGAACTTTGAAGCCAGTCTGTTTAAAAGAAGGAGGAGGAGGAGGGGAGGAAGGAAGAGAGAAAGAGAGAGAGAGACAGAGAGAGAGAGAGAGAGAGAGAGAAAACAAAACTCCCTTAAATGTCAAATAATGAAGAATTCTCAGGCCATACACTCGACCAGTCAGTCCTTCAGTGAAACTTGATCCACATCTTATCACACCCAGTGACTCTCCCCAGAGGCAGCTATTAATTCATGAATACTGAAGCATATATATATATGTTCATATACATATATATAACATACTTTTTCACCCAGATGGTATCATACAATTCAAATTGTGTATCTTGCCTTTTATATAGTTAATTTTTTTCTTACAAAACCTACCATATTTCTAAGTCAATTTTTTTTTGAGACTGTCTCATTATGTTGGATAAACTGGCCCCTTGTTTCAATCTTTTAAGTGTTAGTGCACAGGGTCTCTTGTATCTCCAGATGTCCTCAAAGTCCCTATGGAGTTGAAGATAGTCTTTAACTCCCACCTCTATGTCCTGAGTGTTGGGATTACAAGTATGTGCCTCCATCCCTGGCTTCTGGGACTTCTAACTATTATTTTCTAAGAAAATATTTCCTCAGTGTTTTTCAGTTAATTTTATAGTTACATATAATTGTGTCTTGAAATATAGAATTAAAATATTTCTCCATTCTTGTTAGAAAAGTATTAATCTCAGTTCTAGCACTTGCAAAGTTTCTAAAAAACTTTTGCATATCCTACAAATCCTGCCGCATGGCAGATCCCTGTGTTCAGACAGAAAGTAATGACTGGATGCATACTAAAGAATGCTGAGTAATGGGAATGTACCTTAATAGATAGAGCACTTGTCTAGCATGTATGAGGCCCTGCCCTACATCTAATCTGTAGCAGTGCAGGACAGTTATAGTGGCCCAACCCTATTTGCACTCTGGAGATGGAGAAAGAAGGGTCAGAAGTTTGAGGCCATCCTCATTTACATAAGGAGTTTGAAGCCAGACTAAATAAGAGACCCTGTCTCAAAACAATTAAAAATAAAACTGAGATAGAATGCCAGCTTAATTTACTACTTTGAGGAGATAACATTTTGATGAAAAACAGAAAGTTTTTATTTTAAGAGTTCTTATGCCACCCTCTTTGTTCACAAGCTTTCTTTTGTCAACTCAAAAGGTCACACCCAAACAGTATCATTTGGTTAACTGAGAAAAAGAACACTGAGAGTCTTAAATAATCCTTAGGTATTCTGAAAACTTACTGGTTTGCTTTATGGCCTTTCCCTCTTAACTCAGCATGAATGGATCTTGAGAGAGAGGTAAAGAAGCTAAAAGTTAAGGTTAGAGATGAAAACCGGGTGCTAGCTGTGAGAGAGGGATAATTAATTTTGGAGGCTTGCAAGGAAAGAGAAGTTATCAATGGAAGTAGGAAGGAACCTGAATGATTGGATAAGTGTGGAAGACAGGATAGAAGTGTAGCAGGAGGAAGCATTATGATGGGAGGTCAAGGCTAACTTTGAGGTCATTGCTGTTGTTATAATTGGTTTTTGTGATGGGTCTCTTTATGTACCCCAGAATGAGCCTGATTTTCCTGCCTCTACCTCTTGGTAATGTGATAACCAGCTGGCTTGGCCTGTCCAGTCTTGCATATGATATTCTCCTGCAATTAAAATAAGCAGTGGTGGCATCACATTTTATTTCTGATTTTGTTGAATTGGATACTGACTTAGTTACTTTGACTAAGGGTTTGTCAGTCCTTTTGATTGTTTCAAAGAACCAGCTCTTGATTTTGTTGATTCTTTGTATTATTGTTTTTGTTTCTAATTTGTTGAATTCAGCTAGGAGACAGAGACAGGGAGGTCTCTGTGAGTTCAAGGCCAGCCTGGTCTACAGAGGGAGTTCCAGGACAGCCAGGGCAGCACAGAGAAACCTAGCATCAAAAGACTAATAAGTAAATAAAAATAAAATAAGAATTCATATCAATTAGCCTAAAAGATTTGTGAAGACAAGGTCTGGCCAGGTAGCTGTGACTGTCCTGAAATTTTCTATATAGACTAGACCTAGACTAGCCTCAACGTAACAACAATCTTACTCCCTCTGGAAACTTACTTGGTTTGAAGAATTACTATACTACTATTTAAGTAAAATAAATAACAGCTATCCCCAAAGCTTATTCTTAGTCTCGCTTTCCATATTCCATGTATCTCCTTCATTTATTACTTGAGTTCCTTCTTGAACTACCTATCCAAATATATGAAGTACTGCATTTTATTCATTTTCTGACACTCTTGGTTAAATACCTAAAATGGGCATTTCCTCCCCCCACCCCCCACTCAGAGGATAGATACATAGTGAGAATATTGATGGTATCAACAATTGCTGCCTTGTTTGACCTCATTTAAGCTTGGAGCAGGAGATGAGCCGGAGCAAGCACAAGTCAGAAACATCTTGAACTTGCCGGGGGGTGGGGGGTAAGGTAGGAGGTGAAAGGTTGGTCTGGGCAGGGCTGTTTTATTTATTTTTATTTTTTGGCTTTTTTTTTTTCCTTTTTGGTTACAGTAGCTAACCTCCACTAACCCCATCCACCCATCATTGGAGTCACTATGGACGAAGGACATTTTCCGTACTTGCCTCCAAGTAGCTTAGCAACTTCAAAGTGGTGGTGGGATTGGAAAGTTAGGCCAGTGAAGCTCTCCCACACCATAGGACATGAAGAACATAATTTTGCAGGATCTGTGGAGAAACAGTACAGAGGTTTAAGGACTTGAGGGGATGGAAGCTGGCTAAGAAACTCCGAGCGCTAGTAGGGCTGGGGTGGCAGTGGCGAGATCAGAGTGTCACGGGTATTAAGTTCTTCAATCTGAAGTCAAAGGCTTTTTTCTTTTTCCCTAGAAAAGAGAGCCCCGTTGCGGGTACACGGGGACTGGCATTTCAGGGTCACTTCCTGTAAACTGGCCCTGTCAAGCGCTGCTAGTCTCAGTTGCTTGGTCCTAGCTGGGCGCATCTTGGCTCAATAAAGTTCCTCTAGAATCCAGTGGACGCCACTTTGCTTGGCAGTGGCGCCATTAGTGGGATAGCCTACATGCCCTAGGTATGGCTGAGTTCGGCTGGGTTTGATTGGGCGCCTTTGGGCTCTGCAGCGCTTGGCTGGACGCCTCGGCATTCGACTGAGTTCGGCTGGGCTCGGCTGCATTCGGCTAGGATCGGCTACGTTCGGTTACGTTCGGCTGTGAGCCGCAGGGCTCAGCTAGTTTGGCTGGAGCCTTTGGGCTCTGGTTTGACTGAACTCTGGGCACTTCTGGGCCCCTCGGGGAGTCCAGCCTGAGCTGGTAATGCGGCGTTAAAGACGGAGCGCCATCTAGCGGTACCTGCCCCAAAACGTGAGCAAAGAGGAGCTGGGCCTTTAGCTCAGAGACTACCGGGCCGCAAGGGTCAGCCGCGCGCGGCTGCAGCCAGCCTCAGGTGCCTGCAGTGACGCCTTCTCCACGCGACAGCGTGCTGACCAGCCCTGGTCTCCACGTCTCAGGTTTCGCAAAGACGCATGGGAGCGACCCAGACGAAGGCGTGTCAAGATGGCGGAAGCGGAGGAGTCTCCGGGAAAACACGAAACAACGTCATTTAAACCTTTGGTGAGCTAGAGTAGTGTGATAGAAGGGACAGAGGATGAGGCAGAGCTCCCCGCAGGGAAGTCGGGAACGGGTGGAGTCTTGAAAGAGCTGGAGCTTCTTGGCCCTGCAGACCCTTGCTTCTACAACCAGTTGTCGTTAACACAGCACCTGTTCTCTCATTTAACAGCCTTTCCGCTCGTTCCGCGGTCCTTGTACGCCTTTTTGTGAATCTCCCCTGTCCTTCCCCACTCCAGGAATTGCTTGACCCCTACATTTTGTTAAAGCTCTCAGTGGTTTCTGAAGATTTTTTTTTTCTGTCACTGTCATTTTATCGAGGCATGTCACCAGCCATTGCCAAGTACTAAGGAAGTAATGAGAAAATGTCCCATAGGATGTTGTTGTTTTACTGATTGTAACTTGAATCTTTACTTGTTTAGTGACTTTAGTAGGCTAGTTATTATTTCCAGGTCGTTGTCATCCTCTTTAAGACATATGAAAGGAAGAGCCATAGTGCATCCTATTTAAGAACACAGTTGAATTTATATTGGTTTGAGTTCATTCATACTGAAGCTTGTGTGAGTTTGAGCAAATCATTTCAGCGAAGGGTGTTTATCGCTTAAACTAAAATGAAGATATCTGCCTTTAAGACTTTTCAGGAAGGTAATATGGCATGACTTATATAGATGCCTAATACCATCACGAATGGAGTAATATAAGGAAATTAGTGGTATGCTTCCTCCCAAACAGTATTTACTTATATAGTGTTTGCGCAGTAAATTGTTCCATTTCTTTTGTTTTGTGTTGGCAGCTTAACAGTAGAACTGAAATTTGAGGAAAGTGAACTTGATTCTAGTCCCAACTCTGCTGCTTACTAGGTCTATTCATCTCTTTACTTTGCAAAATACTGAGCATCTACTGTATTCCAGGAAGCTTTTTAGGCACCAGAAATTAAATTGTGTATTAGTGTATTGAGTCTGGGGATGTAGATCATTGCTAAAGTGATTGCTTTGCAAATGCAAAACCTTATAGATCTAATCCCCAGCACTGAAGGGACAAGGTAATTTGGGTCATCTTATGGATCAGTTGGACCTTGAATAAAATCACTCTGAACCCCAGTTTACTCATTTGGAAGACGATGAAACTCATCACACAATAGGGAAAAATTAATGCGAACATTATGCTTACTGTGACAGGTAACCAGGCTGTTTTTTAGTTTTTGTTTCCTACAGACTGTTCCCATTTCTGTGAAGCCTGTGATGGATGGATGTATACACATGTGTGTGTGAGTGTGTGTGTGAGTGTGTGTGTGTGTGTGTGTGTGTGTGTGTTTGTGGCTCAGAACTCAAGCTTGAAAGAAACTAAATATTTGAAGGCAAGTGGCATTTACTTTCAGTATTTTTTTCATTATATTCTACCACTTTTAATTAAAAGGAGAACTTGAGAATTAACTGTGTTATTTATTTTTAACTACTATGGAAAACCCTAAAGAAATATCCTGTCCCAATTCTAGAAAATGGTGATGTTTTTGAGACATTTTGCAGTTATAAGCTTAATTTTCCCCCCACCTTTTCTCAGTTTGCAGGCCTTTCGGATATATCAATTTCACAAGACATCCCAATAGAGGGAGAGATTACTATTCCTGTGAGAGCTCGTGCTCAAGAACTTAACAGCTCTACATTAAATGAATCTGTTCATCAAACCATCGTAAGTTAGACTAATTGAGAGACCACTTTAGTGTTATGGGAGTAAATAGCTACTAATACTTTGAAATATTTTTGTTTGGGTCTTTGATGTTTAATATATTTTTATATTGAAATTTAAGATTCTCCCTTTGAGTGTGTTATTAGTCTTTTTGGCAAATGGAGGGGACTTCATGGTAACTTTGATTATTATAGCACATCAAGTTATTTTTGTCTTTCAGATGCGTGATATAAAAGCTGTGGGGAAGAAATTTATGCATGTTTTATATCCGAGGAAAAGCAATGCTTTGTTAAGAGATTGTAAGTATATGAGGTTTTTGGTGATTTGCTTCATATCCTTGATGCTTTATCGTTTATAAAGCAAAGGCAAAAGCAATAAGGCCATTGCTGTTTTACAGGAATAAACAATTATTTAAATGACATTTTTAGTAGAAATTTACAACAGAATTTCAGAAGTTGAAAGACTTGGCTCATTAAGTTTCAATAAATATGAACTTAGCAAATAAAACAAATACAACTAAAATTGATAATGTGATTTGTTTGTAATTGGAAATTTGAGGTGATTATCACCTAAGTCCTTTGATGAGCTTCAGATTCTCTCCAGGCCCTGAAGTCACAGGCAGAATTTTTTATTTGAATATTATGTCCATGTGGGGACAAATTGTCCATAGCTCTTAATGTTCTGGAATGAGGATTAGAAAGTGAAGAAAGAGTAACTTATGAATTATGAAGGGAAGCAACCTTAAAGGGTATGTGAAGACATGTACGGGGACAGAAAAGCTGGGAAGGCTTAGGTAAAACTTGCGGGTAGAATTCTGAGTGAAAGGTAAGTATTAGGGTAAATATAGGAAATATGGTTTATTTCTTAGCAGCCTGTCTTTTCTTTCCTTGTAGGGGACTTGTGGGGCCCATTAATACTCTGCGTAACACTTGCATTGTAAGTATTTATATTTCCTTCCTCATTTGAGCTAGACTATTTTTTAATGAAGTTCTAGAATTAAGGAAAAATTTGACTAGGACCCCTATCTATCTAGTCTACCTAATCTATCTATCTATCTGTCTGTCTGTCTGTCTGTCTATCTATCTATCCATCTATCCATCCATTCATTTATTTCTTTAAAAAAAGACAAGAGTTGTACTATGTAGCCCACACTATTCTAGAACTTTGCATGTAGCCCAGGCTGGCCTCAAACTTTTTCTTCTCCTGCCTCTGCCTTCTCAGTGCTAGGGTTACAAGTATGCACCAACCACAATATAACTTTTGAATTTTAAATTTACTATATACTCATTTAGATCATAATGTACTATCACTTTCTTGTGTTTTAATAATCATATCAAGGGAACTTGTCCTGTGCTTTGAAAGTATATATGTTAAGAGCTCTTGGAAAAAAATATTCATTAGTTTTAAAAGATCAACCTTAGAGCTTATGTAGTTTCACTAACACTTATTTTCAGAGAAAACTGTAGGCCTAAAACGACATTGAATGACATGTCAAGTGATAGAACTAGGATCAGTGTCTCCCAGATTAGTTAGTATTCTTTTCACCATAACATGCTCAAGTGATAGGGGTTCCATACAACAAAGAGTGCCAGCACACTTTTTGCACCTGATGGTCAGGATTTGGAGTGGAATACACAGCCATAGAATACAAAATCCTCCACATAACCAGAAAACACTTAATACAGGACTTCTCTATCCTATGTAATGAGAGGTTATGGACTTGTTTTTTATAATTAGTTTTCAGGGAAACGATATCAAGTCTAAGTATTCTAAGTTCAGAATTCAAAACATTTTACATTGATTCAGTTTTTAGACACAGACTATTTAAGTGACAGTTCAGTATTTATTCAGTTTCAAAGCAAAGTTCTTTAGTAATGATATATATATATATATATATATATATATATATATATATATATATATATTTATATATATATATATATAAATATATATATATCTAATGCAAGAATTACAAATTCACCATAGCTGAGCATGGTGCCTATAATCCTGACACTCTAGAATCTAAGGCAAGAAGATGACAAGTTAGAGGCTGAGCCTAGGCCATAAAACCAGACCTTGTTTAAAAAACAAACAGGTAAACAGTTACTTATTCAGGTTTGGTAATAGCTAGGAATGTAACCTAAATATAGAATATAGATCAGATAACTGATCTTATTGCTATGCCAGCTACACCTGATGGTGTGTTGGAATGGAGGTCAGATGTGAAAAAAAAAAATCTCATTTTTCACATAAATACAGAGTCCTCTTTGCTTTGCTTGGGAGTGTAACCCAGGGCCCCATACATGCTAGTGAGACACTCTACCACTGAGCTAATCCTCACCAGAAAAATACATTCTTTTCTTTTTAACTCAAGAGCCTCCTGGTTCAATATTCCAGTGTTGGGATTATGATACACACCACCAAACCATTCTTCAGAAATATGTAGTCTTAGGTGAAGCATCCCAACTTAAAAACACTGTCAAACTAAATTTACAGCCATTTTGCACATTTTATGAACAACAACTTAATCTCATGTTTGTGTGCCACGTTTGGCCCTTAAGTTAACTTCTGTTTGGATGGAGAGGATTTTAGTAAGCCATTTAAACATTCCAGAAAGGTCAGAATGCAGCACTCCTTATAATCCTCAGGCATTTGGATGTTTAACTAAGAAAATCTTGCCAGATACTGTTAATGTTTTTCCTTAGTACACAAAGCATGCATTACAGTACAGATGAAGTATGGTGTGTATGTTCCAGTGAGGTATACCATAGCAATCTGGTGAGAATGCATGCCTTTGTTACTTTGTATAAAAGGTTATGCAATTTACATGCTGTTTTCTTAGAATGTTACAGAAAAGTTCTGTGGATGGAGAAAAAGATGGAGGACCACAGTTTGCAGAAGTATTTGTTGTCGTCTGGTTTGGAGCAGTCACTATCACACTAAATTCAAAACTTCTTGGTGGAAACATGCAAGTATCATATGTACCTGTTTTCCCTTTGCTAGGTAACATCATAGATTTTAGGGAAACAGTGCTATTTTGAATTTTTTTAGAGAAAACTTGACCAAAAAAAGTTTCCTTACTACCACTAGAATAGAGAGCCAACTCAACTGAAATAAATTTTGGAGTTCACTGCTAAGTATCAGATTTCCTTTCTAAGCTTTGAAGTTATTGACAAAATTATTATAAGAAGAGAAATATGTTTGTGGGGAACCTGTGGCAAAACATGTTTTCAAACTAATCCTTAACTAGAATAGATTAAGAACTACATTAGAAGATCAATGGGGTATCTCTAGGAATTAGAGTATATTAATCATCTGATATAAAAATGTTGACTCTTTTTTAATTAAATTTTTATATTAATTACAGTTTGTTCATTTTGTATCCCAACTGTATCCCCCACCCTCATTCCCTCCTAATCCCACCCTCACTCTCTTATCTCCTCCCATGCCCCTCTCCAAGTCCACTGAGAGGGGAGGTTCTCCTCCTCTTCCATCTGACCCTAGCTTATCAGGTCTCATCAGGACGGGCTTCATTGTCCTCCTCTGTGGCCTGGCAAGGCTGCTCCCCCCGCCCTCAGGGGGTGGTGGTCAAAGAGTCTACCACTGAATTCATGTCAGAGACAGTCCATGTTCCCCTTACTAGGGTACCCACTTGGACACTGAGCTGCCATGGGCTACATCTGAGCAGGTGTTCTAGGTTGTACCCATGAATGATCCTTGGTTGAAGTATCAGTTTCCGAAAAGACCCCTGTGTCCAGACAGTTTGGTTCTGTTGCTCTCCTTGTGGAGCTCCTGCCCTCTCCAGGTCTTACCATTTCCCCTTTCTTTCATATGATTGCCTGCACTCTGCCCACAGTTTCTTTATGAGTCTCACATATCTGCTTTGATAGAAGGTTGACTCTTAAGGGGCCTAAGAGGGAACCAGGAAGAACATAGATAAGTTGGAGGTATATGATACAGGAGAGTAGTCTTAGGAAGTTACTTTACTGTTAGGGTAAAAGTATAGATATTATTGCAGGAAGGAGGCAATAGTCCATAGAACCTATAAGACATCTGTACAATGAGCTATGTCTTGATACTACTGGATGATACTTATGATCTGTGGATGTGTGTTGTTTGTAGTTCCTTCTTTCAGAGCCTCTGCGTGCTGGGATACTGTATACTTCCTTTGATTGTTGCTATCCTGATTTGCCGCCTGCTGCTTTTGGCAGGGCAGGGACCAATAAATTTCATGATTCGATTTTGTGTGGTGCTGGTGATGTTCACCTGGTCTGTGATTGGTGAGTATGTACTTAAATCTGTAGTACCAGAACATTTTTTAGAAGCCTGGGTTAAAGATGAAAAGCTGTTTTTGAACAATGAAATTCTATTGTCAAATGTAAGTAATATCCATGGACCCCTCTGTTCTAAAATAAGTATTGAAGGTGATAGTGTCCATGTTTTATAAGCTAGCTATCTGAACTTAGAAGATGTAGAAAGTCACCTGGTATGGTGTTGTGCACTTATAATCCCAGTTACTTTGGAGGTTGAGGCAAGAAGATTGCAAGTTCAAGGCCAACCTGGACAGTTTAGCAATATGCTGTCTCAGAAGGAAAATTTTAAAACAAGGCTGTGAATATAGTAGTCCTTATATTGTAGAGTGCTTGTCTAGTATCTATGCACCCTGGGCTCAAGCCTCTACACCATAGAACAAAACAAAATAAACAAAAAGATGCACATAATCACATTTTTTGAGACAGAATCTTTCTGTGTTTCTCAGGCTGGCCTTGAAGTCATAATCCTCTGAACCTTTGCCTCCCAAATTGTTGGGATTGCAGGCAGGCCTGCACCACTCTGTCTAGCCTATATTCTTGATGAGTAAAGAGATGAGTAGGCCTTTCTTGGATGGATAGAATGATAGCACTTTTAAGAGAGCTGATAGCTTGCAGGCCTATAGTCCCATTACTTGAGAAGTAGGAGCAGGAAGATTATGAGTTCAAAGTGAATTTCAGCTACATAGTATGTTCAGAGCCAGCCTAGGTTATATAAGACCTTGTTTGAAAAAGAATGGCAGCAGCAACAATAGCAAAATACTCCCTCCACCCCCAATTAACTTACAAAAATGAAAGAAAAACTGTTGAAGCATTAGTATTTGAAAGAATCTGTCTTGGGCTATTAAGATGACAAGTCTGTGAACTGTGTTCATGAATGTTGTTATGAATGGAACCTATGGCCTTGTCCATGCAAAGCAAGTGCTCTACCACACACCTGATCCACACACTCCTGCCCTATAAATGTACTTGTATTATTCTGAGGTACCGCAAGTGACACTGAACTTTTAATGTACTTCTTTGATCCAGATTATGCCAATTACATTGGAGCTTAGTAAATATTAGTTGTGATAATATGATTATATTAAATATTCCTTTTTGTTTTCTTTAGCATCTACAGTCTTCCTTGCTGATAGCCAGCCTCCAAACCGCAAAGCTCTGGCTGTGTATCCGGTCTTTTTATTCTACTTTGTGATCAGTTGGATGATACTCACATTCACTCCATAAATCCGAATACACACATTGAAAACCAGTGAACTGAAAGCTCACCTAGAAGATAACGGTTTACCAACAACAACCTCCCCACTCTCTTGTTCAATTTTTGAGATATTAAAAGGGAGCCACATAGCACTGTTGTAATTTATATAAGGAACTGATATTTGCAAGACTGACCTTTTCCAGTTAATGTTATTACTTTCAAATACTTGTGCATACCACACATAGTAACATGCCTCCTTAAGGTAGGGTGAAGTCACTTGTTCGTTTGAATGACAACCAGTGACTTGAGCAAGTAGATCCACTCTACCAATTAAAAAGAGTTGGTGAACATCGTCAGCTTGGAGAATATTTGTTCAGGTGCAGCTCTTAAACACATTGCCTTATGACTATTAGAATATGCCTCGTTTCATAAATAGTGTGTATCCACCTTTTTTTTTTCTTTTCCCCCCGAAACTTGAGAAAGCAATGGCAGAGGTTAGGAACAAGGTTTACAAATGTGGGAAGAAAAAAAAACATGCATTAACTGATTTTCAGATTTTGATCAGAGGTACTGCTAGAGTTGGGTTTTTTTTTTTTGTTGTTGTTGTATTTTTAAGCAAATGACATCTAAAGAATCAGCTTTTTTTTTTTTTTTTTTATTTTTGTATAGTTACCTTCTGTCATGCGTAACAGTACCCTGGCTAGCATTCTAGTTTTTAATGTTTCTCCCACATCCTGAATATAAAATGCTAATAGTTAAACATGCAACTTTCCTTTGAAGTTCTCAATGGTCCAATATTTGAGCTTTTCTAAGTAGCAGAAGAATTCAAAAATCTAGGTTCATGGTTTGTAATCTATTTTGTCATGTGGGCACCTTTTAAGGTATAATATATTATACAACATAGCTAACAGGACCTATTAATTATTTTGTATGGTCCATCCTCAGACTGGAAGGAAAGGAAGGCTACATCAGAAGTGTGTATTTAACCAAGTGGATACAGAGAATCTAGTTTTCTGAAGGCTGGGTAACAGGAGAACACTTAAATACATGACAAAAGGTGAATTGAGTTTACAGCTACTGCCTTTCCATAGTGGGCTCAGCAGCTTTTTTTTTTTTTTTTTTTTTTTTAATGGGGGGTTTTTTTTTTTTTTTTTTTGGGAGGGACACTGGAAAATAGCAATTTATTTTGTGTGGTTTAGACTTTATTTGTAAAGCTAATAAGCTTCCCTCTAGATATGTACATTTTTCACATGTGCACCTACCTGTACTTTTATATATTTATGCACACAAGTATGAAGGCTTTTCAGGGAATAGAACATCTGAGACAGGCTGACTCAGCTAAACAGGACTCCTGTAAGGTAGTAGGAACTGATGCCTTCTATATGTTTCATATTGAAGGAGACAGATTGGGAGTCAGAGAACATTCATTGTAAATATGCACTTAGTTATAAGAATTTATTATTCCATGTGTTTTCTTTATCATAGAATTTAAATATTTATTGTTTTTTTTGATTTAAAGACTACCTTCATATAAATATATGATTCTAAAAACATATTTTTTTCCCTTTCTCAGAATAACCAAATTAGCAACACTAGGCCAAATGTGTTTATGGGATGAGTTACAAATCATTACTGAGTTTATCCTCTCTGCCCCACCCTTATCTAATGGTTTGGGGTGTATATTTAAATTCATTGTAGTTTATCCCTTAAATCATAAACCCTGTGCGGATAAATACGGTGTTTTACTCTTGAGTTAGTAAAGAAAATTTGAAACCTTTAAGTTTTGAAATTTGTCATAAATTATCATCTCTTCATTATCTGAAAAATTTCAATATCTTTTCTAAGTTATTTTGTAATCTGCCCAAGTAATTATAATAATGAAGTACCCATACTTCTCAAGGGAAACTTAGTCTTTACTGGATTTTACTCAGGTGAAACATTTACTTGGAAATTCCTAAGGGTTTTGAGGGGTTAGAGAGATTGGATATAAGGCACATTGATCCTGTGTGTTAATCTGCTGCTCTTGCGTGATTTGATGAATGGTTTTATATGGTTTTAAATGGTAGGGCATTTGCCAGGCATGCACAGTACTCTCTCTAGGTTCAATTCTTAACATTGCCAAAAAAAGTGGATAAACTGTAGGCTTAATTACTTTTATTTCTGGAATTGAATGATCAAAGGGTATAAATAGTTTTAACATATGCAAAAAGTCTTTTGCTTTCTGTGACTCTGAAAGTTGTAATATAGCTTTTCCTGGTTTGCTGCAAAGGCGCATGGTTGATTCTAGAAATGAAGACTGGAAAGTCAGAAGCATCCAGCAGAGGAACTCCTGTTCTAAGATGTGGAAGTTTCATGCTTCTGGTGAACTTCAAGCTTTTGAGTATCCTTGCAGAATGTGCATGGGTATCATAGCCAGCTTGGATGATCACCTGCTGCTTCTACATCTGAGACCATGACACTGTTGTTATATGTCTTAGCAATAGGAAGGATAAGTCTTGATTTAATTGGTGTTCAAATTATAAAAACTCTTATCAATAACAACATTTGAATGTTCTCTGTGTTTCTTGAAGTTCATCATCAGTAAGATTGTGTGTGTGTGTGTGTGTGTGTGTGTGTGTGTGTGTGTGTGTGTGTGTTTGTGTTTGTGTGTGTGTTTGTGTTTTGTTTTTTGGCCTAAAAGTTACATAAATTCAATTTGATCTTTCCATTATGGGATCTTTTGTTGGGCAAAGTTACATCGCATGAGACTGATAAGCATTTCACTGTTGACTGTCTTTTATAAATAGTAACCCCCAAAATGTTATTATAAGGCTAATAAGCTTGTACTTGGAGATATAATGTGTTGACTTTCTGCATTTGAGCTGCCTCCTTATTTCTGGAGATGAAAATGAAAAATTTTCAGTTGGTATTTTGGGTACCATCAAGTCATACTGGTTGAAATTCTAGTATGGTTTGAGCACTGAAGTGATCCTTAACTAGACTGTCTGTTTCTGAGATGATTGGATGGCATTAACTATATGAATGTTGATGGATCTATGTATGTAAATTAGAGATCCTTCTCCAGATTCTGTGTGCTTTTGTTATAAATATAGTACTAGCAGGGAGAATAATTTTATGATTATTAATTGCTAACAGTTATTGGGCATTTACTGTATACCAATATACCATTAAAAGAAATTTTGTAATAGCTTTATTAAAGTACACTTTACCTTGAAAATCCATGCTTTCAAAGTGTGCATACAATTCAGAGGTTCTGACTATGTTCACAGAATTATATAGCTATCACTGCTATCTAATTTGAGAATATCTGTCTTTATCACTCTGCAGAAACCAGTCACTCCAGCTCTCTAGTCCCCTTCAGTCCCTGGCAACTACTGGTCTGCTTTCTATCTGTTCATCTAGCCAGGCACTCTTCTTTCCTTCCTTCCTTCCTTCCTTCCTTCCTTCCTTCCTTCCTTCCTTCCTTCCTTCCT